AAGGCTAAAGGACATAACATCTGTCAAGTTTGAGTCAGAAGTAGATATTACTTAACACTTGATTTTGAGAAAATATTTAAGGTGTTAAGAGTTAAGCGGAGATTTGTTCCAATTTTTGCATCTACTAAATAAGGCTAATCAACTATGTATTGAACACATAGTCTCTCCAATTTTTGCATCTACTAAATAAGGCTAATCAACTATTTATTGAACACATAGTCTATGTTACGTGTGTTTCATTGGGTTGTTGGGAAGAAAAAATGAGAACAGGCATTTTCTCATCCTATGTAAATTTTAAAGTGTTATTAATGCCTATGTTACCAAGTTTAAAAATAGTCACTAATATGCACGTGCTCAGTGAATACTGACTTTTATTCTTCACATTCCAGTACTGTCTGAAAGCCTCTGAGTTTAAGAATCAGTTTCCAGAGACCTAGGTCAGTGCTTTTGGTGAAGAACCAATTTAGCTCCCTATCAGAGGTTTTTAACCTAAGGTTCACAGACCTAATCACAGATCCTCAAGGCATGGATAAGTAATTAAGGCAGCCTGAACATGGACATCTTTTTCACGAACTCTATGAGATTTAGTATTTCCTTCCATTTTAAATGAAATCAGCAAGAGACATATTAATAGTGGTTCCTGGCCAGGCACAGTGACCCACGCCTATAATCCCAGCAGTTTGAGAGGCCAAGGCGGAAGGATCACTTGAGCCCAGGAGTTCAAGACCAGCCTGGGCAACACAGTGAGAACCCCCCACCAAACCATCTCTACTAAAAATAGAAAAAAAATAGTTGGGTGTGGTGGCATGCACCTGTAGTCCAAGCTACTCAGGAGGCAGAACTGGGAGGATCTCTTTGGCCCTGGAAGTCGAAGCTGCAGTGAGCCAAGATCGTGCCACTGCACTTTAGGCTAGGTGACAGAGTGAGAACTTCAGGCTAGGTGACAGAGTGAGACCTGTCTCAAAAAAAAAAAAAAAAAAAAAAATAGTAGTTTTGGTGTCTTTGCCATAAGAGAAATAACAAATATTTTAATGTCATGTTACATCCGTGGCATATATCTTAAAATAGCATTCATGTTCTTCATTACTTTGAAATTACTGTAGCTTTAGATCTGCAATAAGGTTTGGTTTTGTTTTGCTTTGTTTAGAGACAGTCTATTGCTGAGGATAGAGAGTAGTAGTATAATCATAGCTCACTGCAGCCTTGAATTCCTGAGCTCAAGCAATCTTCTTGCCTTAGCTTCCTGAGTAGCTGGGACTATAGACATACACCACTATAGGCCTACACCACCATATCTGGCTTTTTTTGTTTTTGTTTTTTTTTGAGACAGGGTCTCACTGTGTTGCCCTGATTGATCTCAAATTCCTGTCCTCTGGCCTCAAGCAATCTTCCTCTTTCAGCTTCCCAAAGCGCTGGGATTACAGGCATGAGCCACTGTGCCTGACAAACTTTAATAACATGAACAGGCACACAAACTAGTCATGCAGACAACCTTTTTACTGATCTCTTTAAAAAATAAAACTTTACTTTAAATTGCCCATATTTAAATATAGTATCTTGCTATATAAGTCTTCAATAAAGAGGAATATATCTTGCAATACACATTTGTAAGATACACTTAATTTGTCAATATTTTGATATCTACACATTTGTAAGATATACTTAATATGTCAATGTTTTGATATCTATATTTAAGTACAAATGGTTTCCTTTGTAATTCTATGTATATATTTATTTAAAATCATTCCAACTTTTGTGTCTTTGACATAAAATATGTTAAGGACTCTTGCAGAGAATTACGCTTCAGTTTATTAAGGAATATATACCTCAGACATGATATTCCCAGAAACACCACAAGATGGCTTTCTTGCTTTAGATCCACTGTGGAGATTTGCAGAAATGTTTTCTCTCACATTTTACAGTTGCTTTAAGGAAGGTCAGTTTTCCCAAGCAACTGAACCTTCATTTACATGAAGAGATTCATTATGAGAGAAATATTTTAATTGGCTTACATGATTACAGAGGCTGGCAAGTCCAATGACCTGCAGCCAGCAAGCTAGAGACCCAAGAGAGCCAATGGTAATGGTGTAGATCCAGTCTGAAAGCCAGGAGGTTCAAGACCCAGGAAAAGCCCACATTTTAGCTGGAGTCCATAGGCAGGAAAATATTGATGTCCCAGCTTCAGGACAGTCAGGCAGGGGAAGTTCCCTCTTACTCAGCTTTTTGGTCCTTCAACTGATTGGATGAAACCCATTCACATTAGGGAGGGCAATCTGCTTTACTCAATTCAAATGTTCATCTCATCCAGAAACACCCTCACTGACACTATAAGAATAATGTTTGAACAAATGTCTGTGCACCCCATGGCTTAAGCTAGTTGACAGATAAAATTAATCATCACATTCACAGATATCGTTGAGTGAATGTTTACAATGCATACAGGCACTACTCCAATGAAACAGTGGCTTGTTAGCCACTGTTGTTATGGTCAATAGTCTCATGAGGCTTATGATATAAAGAGCTTAACAGGATATTATATGAAAAGCTACACAAATAACTATAACAATTGTGATAAGCATAGGGAAAAGAAAAAAAAAAAAACAAGATAATTTAGGCAGTTAAAAAAGAAAGAGTTCACTGAAGAGTAATGTCAAAATGCAATCCGAAGGTTGACTAGAAAGAGTAGCAGTTGACCGGGTGAAAAGTTGGGGGTAGGTGGTGAGGAAACGGTGTGGACATAAAGCCTAATGCATAAAAGCTTAGCTTCCTAGGGAAAGGAGAGGGAAGGAAAAACTGCACTGACTATGAGAAAATGATAAAATATGAGCACTAGAAAGGCAGATAGAAACCTGAGCAAGTTCTAGTTAACCAGGTAAGAAGTTTCAAACACTATCCTAAGAGTAATGGGAAGCCCCAGCACCTTTCCTATTTATTCCATTTCATAAAAATATTGTGAGTGAGTTTAGCAATAGTCAACCTGCAATGCTTATCATTCACCATATTAAGGAACCAACAAACTAAGGCTAGCTCAGATTTAAAAAATTCCAAAAGGTGGTGGGTAGAACAATTCTTCAGAACCAGTTTCAGACTACCAGGCAAATCATAGATGGTTCAACCTTATATCATGATTCTCAATCTGTTTTCAGTGTCTCTATAAAATTCACATACATACTCCCACCTGAAACATTTTTCTTTATAACATTATTTTCTATCTACCACACTAAGGGCATATCTGATTTATTCCCTGTATAAATAAGATTTTAACTTATGAAAATTAAGTTAAAAATACTTCATATAGTATCTCTAGTATACAATGAAAACACTGGTCACTGGCAACAGTAGTTGCCTCTAGGAAGGGGAACCAGCTAGCCCAGACACAGAAGTGGCAGATAAAATTTTCACATTTTTATATCTTCTTATTTTTATATAATGAATCTATAAGACTATTTTTAAAATATTAAGAACTATTTCTCTCAATCTCTAAGAATATTATATTCATATTTAATATTTACATTTATTACATCTCAATCATTTTGTTTCTGGTAGCTCTGGCTACGGTAGAGACTGTTAATTGCCTGCCACAACATCTATTTCCCTCCTCCTTCCCAGGAACAGAATACTAATATTATTTGGGGTGGCAATGCATTAAATAAAAGACATTTCCTGACTCCCCTGTAGTTATATGTGGCCATATGATGGAGTTCTGAACAATAAGTGGAAGTATGATGTGGGATGTCGGGAAGGCTACTTTGAAAGAGGGGACTTCACTGAAAAGCAGGCCTTCTTATAATTCTCTCATTTCTTCCAGCAGCCATGTTGGATTGCATAGGTGTTTTTTTTTTTTTTTTTTTTTTTTTTTTTTCAGACGGAGTCTTGCTCTGTTGCACAGGCTGGCATGTAGTGGTGCAATCTAGGCTCACTGCAACCTTTACCTCCTGAATTCAAGCGAGTCTCCTGTCTCAGCCTCCCAAGTAGCAAAGACAGGGTTTCACCATGTTGGCCAAGCTGTCCTCGAACTCCTGACTTCAAATGATCCACCTGCCTTTGCCTCCCAAAGTGCTGGGATTACAGACATAAGCCACAGCGCCCAGGCTGTAGGTGGTATCTTTAGACCTACATACTCAGGACCATGAAGTGATTGTGAAGATGACAGCACAGCAATAGAGAAGCCTATGTTCCTGATGACTTTGTGGACCCACCAAACACCTTATTTTAATTAAGCTGTACCTTAGTTAACTCACTGTTATTTTGCTTTTTTGTTATATATAGTAAAACCTAATCCTAAATCCTAAATGATATACTGGTCATCCTTACACTCAAGGAAAAGAGATTCTCCAACACACATTTAACAGCATATAAAAGAGGTTATTCTGCTTTTATCCCACAAGGTAGTATGTTAACTACAGCAGTATCTGCAAGGTAAAACAGAATGTTACTTCAAACATTATCCCTGTTTCATCCATTCAACAAACTATTACAAAATACCTACTACATTCTAGTCCCTAAGAGCAATTGTGTTGAAAGATAAATCTATGATGCAAACCAGTATAACACTCCTTCCCACATCCACAAAGAATTTTTTTTTTTTTTTAAGGAGCAGAGAGTTAAATAGGCAAGAAAGAAGGTGGGGAAGAAGAAAGAAAGAAAAGAAAGAAAGAAAGAAGCTCCCCTGTATAGAGACAGGGAGGGGGCCCCAAAGCCAGAAGAGGGAACCCCAAAGAAATTTTGAACCTCGTAATTTCTGTACAATGTATTTTCTCCCTCACAGCACAAAGAGGGCAGAAATAAGGTATGTAGAGATCAAAAAAGCAAAACTTTTTTCTAAATCCTTAAAACACAGAAATTTTATAAATTATTTATAGAGTGTTTATCTTACATGAACCATTTCCACACAATAATCTTTATTATTAATATTGATTTGTATACCAAATATGTACCCAGTAAAATGGGGAAAATTTTGAGTATACATTTTAGAGCCAATTCCCTGATGTTTTTCTTTTCTGAACTTAAAAACAAGTTAGACTGAGTTTCACACATTCATACCTTAAAAATAACAACCTAGGCCGGGTGCGGTGGCTCAAGCCTGTAATCCCAGCACTTTGGGAGGCCGAGGCGGGTGGATCACGAGGTCAAGAGATCGAGACCATCCTGGTCAACATGGTGAAACCCCGTCTCTACTAAAAATACAAAAAATTAGCTGGGCATGGTGGCGTGTGCCTGTAATCCCAGCTACTCAGGAGGCTGAGGCAGGAGAATTGCCTGAACCCGGGAGGCAGAGGTTGCGGTGAGCCGAGATCGCGCCATTGCACTCCAGCCTGGATAACAAGAGCGAAACTCCATCCCCCCCCCCCCCAAAAAAAAAAAAAGTAACAACCTAAGGGTCTGGTTCTGTGCAAAATGGTGGCTACAGTTATGTAAAGACTGAAAAATAAATGGTAGAAGAAGAACTAATGAAGAAGATCAGAACCTAAAGTACCACAAAACCAGATTAAGTTTCTTGGCATTTCTTTCCTCCAATATGGCCTGACTTTTTTTTCTCTCCCTGCTGTAGTCCACTGGCCTTGACTCAAAAGTAGCAGAAAAGCTGGAAGTGCAACTGATTGTGTACAAAGAGTGCCAAGAGACCAAGAATCAGAAAGGGGACTCTTGGAAGGTCAGAGGAGGAAGAAAGAACATCCAGTATTCTTTTCCATCCTCTCAGGTAATCGCAACTCCCAGGTAATTGCACAGCGATGTCAGAAGTAATAACCACGACAGATGTCTAAAATTCTAAAGTAAGGGAATCATTCTTTTTACCAGAGGATATAAACCCGGTCTCAAGATCTTGGGTCAAATGCCTGTTGCACCTTTCTCTCCCTGTCTTCCAATCACATGGCCTCAGATGCAAATACAACTGAAGGAAATACACAGCAGGGCAGGAAAACAAAGGCCCAGTTTTCTGGCCAGAGAACTGGAAAGAGGGTCCTCACGGAAACATAAAGTATCAGAGAGATGACAGAAAAAGGGAACTCATGAGAGCAATCCCATAAAGTTGTATATAAACTTCTACATTCACCTTTGAGCTAAATGTGCATAGATCTGACCTTAAACAGCATACCAAAAGTTTTGAGAAGTAAACTATGGAGTGGACTACTGCACAGATCCCACACTATCCAATGGGTAGTACACATAGTGGACAAATCCAAATAAGCAGACTTTGAAAACCAAATTGATATCAGAACCACAGGCCATAGGTGGGTTCAACTTGCAAAATTACCTAACCAGGTTGAGTGACCACTAAAGCTAAAAGGAACAGTATTCCCCTTAAGATTTAACCAACAGCTAGAATCTCATTATATGCAAATGTCCAGAATAGATTAAAAAATTACTAAACATAGAAAGAAACAGGAAAATGTTAACTTGGAAAATAAAAGACAAATAACCAAACACCAATCCTGACATGTCAGACCTTGAAATTTTTGTACAATGTACAAAAACTTAATATCAGTTATTATAACCATGCCTAAAAACATAAAGGCAAACTCTTTTTAACTAAATGGAAAGAAAGTATTGACCAAGAAATAAAAGCTATACCAAATGGAACTTTTAGAACTTAAAAATACAATAATTATAATAAAATATTCATTGGATGGGCTCAGGAACAGAATTGAGATGAAAGTAGAAAGTGTCAGTGAACTTAAAGCTGAATCATTAGAAATAAACCAGTTTGAAAAATAAAGAGAAAACAAGTCCTTAAAAAAGTAGGCCTTTTGATACTATCATATAGTTACCTCAGAGCCTTAGGACAATATCAAAAGGCCTAACATTTGTTTCATCAGAGTCCCAGAAAGAGAGGAGAAAGAAAAAAATATTTGGAGAAATAATGGCTGAAAACATATCAAATTTGGTAAAAGACATATACTCATAGAATCAAGAAGCTCAGCAAACCCCAAGAAGATAAACCCAAAACCTCCAAACCCAGAAACATTATACGTAAAATTCTGAAAACCAAAAATAAAGAAAATACCATTAAAACATCCAGAGAAAACCAATGCACTGTAAACATATAAGAACTTGAATGACCTCAGATTTCTCATCAGGAAAAAGAAAGGGCAGGAGGAAGAGAAATGGCTTTTCTTAGGTCTTAAAGGGAAAGAACTGTCAACTCATTATTGTATAACAACTGAAAATAACCTACACATATGAAGGTAAAATAAATTCTTAGAGGAAGAAAAACTAAGATAACTGGTTTCTGGCAAATCTGCTCTAAAAAATGTTAGAGGACATTCTTTAAATGAAGGGAAATGATACCCCAAAACAAATATGGAACATGAGGAATGAAACAAGAGCAACACAAATTATCCTTTCCCTCTTAAACTCTTTAAAATATGTGTGACAGTTAAAAACAAAAGTTAGGGCCATGCACAGTGGCCCCAGTGTGTAATCCCAGCACTTTGGCAGGCTGGAGTAGGCAGACACCTTGAACTCAGGAGTTTGGCAGCAGTCGTGGTAACATGATGAAATCATGTCACTACAAAAAATATAAAAATTAGCCAGGTGTGGTGGCATGTGCCTGTAGTCTCAGATGCTCAGGAGGCTAGGGTGGGAGGATTGCTTGAGCCAAGGAGGTCAAGGCTGCAGTGAGTCATGTTACCATTGCACTCCAGCCTGCATGACAAAGGAAGACACTGTCTCAAAAAAATAAATAAAAGTTATAGGCCACACCTATAATACAAGAACTTTGGAAGGCCATGGTGGGAGGATTGCTTGAGCCCAGGAGTTTGAGACCAGCTTGGACAACATGGCAAAATGCTATTTCTACAAAAAAATACAAAAATTAGCTAGGCATGATGGTGTGCACCTGGAGTTCCAGATACTCAAGAGGATGGACTGAGTCTAGTAGGTCGTGCCATTGCACTCCAGCCTAGATAAGAGAGCAAGACTCTACCACATAAAAGAAGTTATAAATATTACATTGAATTATTATTCTAAAAATGTTTATGTAATACATATATAAAGATATAAGAAAATATAATACATATAACTACAACATAAATAAAGTAATGAGACCTATATAATGGTAAGATTTCTGTATTTCAATTGAAATGGTAAAATTTTAACTTTAAGTTGACTGTGAAAAGTTCAGCATGTGTATCAAAATCACCAGAAAAAGTACTAAAAACAAGCTATACAAAGAAATATTGTCAAAAACTCACTGAATAAATCAAAATGGAATAATAAAAATATTTAGGTAGGCAAGGTGTGGGGGCTCATGCCTGTAATCCCAGCACTTTGGAAGGCTGAGGCAGGTGGATCATGAGGTCAGGAATTTGAGACCAGCCTGACCAACATGGTGAAACTCCATCTCTACTAAAAATACAAAAATTAGCTGGGTATGGTGGCGTGTGCCTGTAATCCAGGCTACTCAGGAGGCTGAGGCAGGAGAATAGCTTGAACTCAAGAGGCGGAGGTTTCAGTGTGCTGAGATCATGCCACTGCACTCCAGCCTGGGTGATAGAGCAAGACCCAGTCTCAATTTAAAAAAATTTTAAAAAAAATTAAGCAAAAAAAATTAGATTGGAAAGAAGAAACAGAGGCATGAAAAGGAAACAGACACCTATGATAGAAATCTGTTTAACTCTCTGTGTATCAATAATTACATTAAATGTAAATAGTCTAAACACACAAATCAAAAGACAGAGATTGTCAGAAATTGGCAATGGCTACAAGCAAACCTGGCTAATTAGATCATTACTGCTTCTCACCTACATGTTCCTATCAAAGTCCAGGAAGTGTCAGCCAAACAAAGCAAGGGAAAGTGCTATATTATGAAATTTTACCTCAATTACATAAGTATATTATTAGTTTGCTAGGGCTGCCACAACAAAGCACCACATACTGGGTGGTTTAAACAGGAATTTATTTTATTAAAGTTCTGGAAGATAGAAGTCCAAGATCAAGGTGTTGGCAGGGTTGACTTTATTCTATGGCTTCTCTTCTGAACTTATTAGATGGCCATCTTAAGACTCTGAAAAGACAATTTAAATGTATTTTAATATATTCTAAGCTTAAAGGGTCAATGCCTAATATTATAATGGAAGTCTGAGAACTCCTTCACCCTCTGGATCTCTAAGGTTTTTGTTTTGTTTTGCTTTGTTTTGTTTTTCTGAGACAGGGTCTCACTCCGTCATCTTGGCTGGAGTGCAGTAGATGTGATCATGGCTCACTGTGGCCTTCTGCCTCAGCCACAGAAGTAACTGGGACTACAGGTGCACACCACCGTGCCCAGCTTTATGTATGTTTTTTTCTTTTTTGTAAGGTGGGGTTTTGACATGTTTCCCAGTCTGGTCTTGAACTCCTGGGCTCAAGTGATCCTCCTACCCCGGCCTCCCAGGTGGCTCACATCTGGCATTACAGGTGTGAGCCTTCACACCTGGCCTCATAATTACTGACATTGGTATGAACACTGTATTAGTCTGTTCTCATGCTACTAATAAAGACATAGAAACACTGAGTAATTTATAAAGTCAGAGGCTTAACTGATTCACAGTTCAGCATGGATGGGGTGGCCTCAGGAAACTTACAATCATGACAGAAAGGGAAACAAACACATCCTCTTCACATGGTGGCAGGAAGAAGAAGGAGCAAAAGGGGGAAAAGCTTCTTATAAAACCATCAGATCTTGTGAGAACTCACTCCTATCAGAGCATGGGGGTAATCATCCCCATGATTCAATTACCTCCCACTGGGTCCCTCCCATGACACATGGGGATTTGGGGAACTACAATTCAAGATGAGATGAGATTTGGGTAGAAACACAGACAAACCATATCAAACACACAAGTACTTTTGCTGATGTTCTTACTCAACCATAACCTGATTATGGAAAAAATAATACCAGTGTTTTTAAATCTAGGGTTTGTACATTAATACAAAGCTCTAGGAGTTACAGTCCTATGTTTTTAGAGAACATTATTCATTATTATATTACTTGACTTCCTACTATGGTTTCATTGTGTCGCCCAAAATTCATGTGTTGGAAATTTAATCTCCAATGTCTTAAACTCCACATCACCTTTCTCAAGAGTTATATCAAACTCATCTTTCTTATTACAGCACACATTTTGTTATTGGGATATTCTATACTACTGCTGTTGTTTCAACTAAAGCAAAGTAGCAGACATAGAGAGAGGCATCTGGCTGTATATGGCTTTCACAGAAGTGGGATTCTGTCCTAAATCAGTTTCTCATGTTGCTGAGGCAACTCTAGAGAACTGTGATGGATGAAATTTTCTGATTAATTCATTTGGGTCTAGTTTACATTGAAGAAAAAGAGGTTTAAGGTACTTTTCCTTCATGGTCATGAAACTTATTTCTCTCTCTTTTCCTTACAACACACCCAACGAGATCTTGTCATTCCAGGAAGCAAACAACTACAAAACCTCATTTTTTAGATTTAAAAGTGAGTAATGCTGACCCAAATTAACTTCGATACAATACTATTTTCTATTGAAGCATAACTCTTAAACATGACTTATACTGCACCAAACTGCCTGAAATATGGAAGAGTTGTCTCTTTTGGAGATTTACTCGTGGGTCTTGTTATTATTTAATCTTAAGATATAGAAACCATGTAAGCACAACTGTGATAGAACTATCAATTAGTGTTTTCTACCATTGCAAAGGGAAATAAACTGATTGAGAAATAAAAAATAAACATGATTATTTTATTATGTGTAGAATTTTAATTCTGAAGGGAAATTTATGAAATATTATTAGTCACATGAAAATTATTGAGAAAAAATGTAAAACCCAACTCATCTATATCAGACGATATCCCTGAAAATAAAAAACACTAACATTAAATTAGACATATTTTTATAAGACCAGCCAAGATAAGCAACTCAAAAATAGTTTGGACTATGCACAGAAAAACATTAAATTTCCTAAACATGAGGTAGATTTACTTCCCCAATTGCTTTGATTAAATCCTACCTGGAAGATGCATATTTTAGTATAAACAAATAGGCTTAGAATCATACATAAATCATAAATGAAGATCCTAATTCTCTTAAGTTTTTTGAAAATTTTTGAATTCATATCACATCTATTGTTAACTTTGATTTTACCAAGATGAAGCACCTCCCTTAGGTTATCCAGCAAGTAATTAAAATTTTATGAGATTACCAAGCTTAAACCAAATTCCAACTTTTCTGACTATATTCCAGCATACAATATAATGAGATAGGAAGTCAACTAAACTTTAGATTTCAATCTGAACTTATTTTCACAAAATTATTTTAAAGAGGATAATGCCCAAACTGTCACTTTAAACAGGTGAGTTCTGTTTAAAGACCAAAAAAAGACATAGCTCATTCATTAAGTAAACATTTATTTAATGTCTACTGAGCAAAATACTGTTCTAAATGTTGTCACTCCTGCCCTATGACATCAAAGAAATGAGAAAAAATATACAACTTATGGCCAGGTACAGTGGCTCACGCCTATAATCCCAGCATTTTGGAAGTCCTAGGCCAAGGCAGGCAGATCACTTGAGGTTGGGAGTTTAAGACCAGCCTGGCCAACATGGCGAAACCCTGTCTCTATTAAAATATACTGGGCGTGGTGGTGCATGCCTGTAATCTCAGCTACTCGGAAGGCTGAGGCATGACAGTCACTTAAATCCAAGAGGTGAAGGTTGCAGTGAACCGAGATTGCACCACTGCACTCCAGCCTGGGTGACAGAGCAAGACCTTGTCTCAAAAAAAAAGTAAAGAAAAAATACAACAAAGTAAATAAAAAATTATATAGTACAACTGAATACATAAAAACAGAGGTGTCAAATAATAATAAGACTAATATAACTAGGAAACGCTTCCTTAGAGAGATCATTATTAAATTAACTAAGATGTTATAATAGTAGAAATTACACACGAAAAGAAAAGAATTAAGAGATTCAGCAAATATATTTTAAGTGGGAGCCTATGCTGGGGAACTAATAAGATAAATTTGGAGAAGACAGTAAACCCAACTTACAGACTGATTTTACATTAAACATGACAGAAAATAATAACATACTATAAATGCTTAAGTAATAGAAGAGTAAAGTGAAGAAAATGCTAATTAATGAAGGTAACTCTTCTATACCTACATGCAGAATGAATTATATCATTCATCAGTGGAAATAAAAGCAGCAAAACTGTTGCTGCAGCTACCCGAAGGTACAGTGATGAAGTTCTGTGTTAGTCTGGTTGAAAAAGATACGTGACAGGCTGGGTTGCTGGAAAAAAGTAAAATCTACCATTGTCTCTTTAAAGCCAAGGGTTATTACAAAATAATTAAAAAAGAAAAAAACACCTCAAAACATTCCTGGGCTACTAGCAACTTAAAGGCCTAGAGGTCTTGAGTATAGGACAAATGAACAAAGTCGATGGCTGTGGTTTCAATGATACATAGGAAATTCTGTTACTTCCACAAGGCACCAGGTAACTAACCTAGAACTGAGTAAAACATTATTCCATTGATTGACTCAAAGTCAGTACACTGGACTGTGAATCCAATTTGATGTAATGCAGATAAAAAGTTCAATTATTACAAATTCAAAAATGTGCTTTTAACATATTAATGCTATATCTCATCTTGGATGGAAGATCTTTGTGATACTATTATTTGGAAGTAGGAATTAATCCTTGATTCCTAGTAACCTGTTCAAATTCTTTTGAACAGGAGTCAAAAAAATTTTTATATCATAAATTCTTGATGTAATCATAGTAAAGGCAATAATTACTCTTGCTTAGGGATTGCCTATGCCATCTACACACTCTTAATAGACACTCTTGCCCCCAAGATGAGGAAAATCAAACAGGTTATACAACTCATGTAGTCCTTCTTAAGTGTCAACCCACAACTTGGTCATAAATTACAGCAGGCAGGTGACACATATAAGTCACAAATAGTTTTGTCACATCAAATTTTACTTTTGTTCTACTGAAAATAGGTGGCAAACTTGCAGAATAATAAAAGAGAATTTTAAAAATCAAACTAGCAATTAAATTTTTTAAAGAAAGAAATAAGTAGGAATAATTTACAATTTCATAATGCTACATGACCATAGGTAACACATAACTACAGAGATGTAAAAGTTGCCTGTCACCACAAAACACACAAAAAAAACTCACACTAACTGTAACTTAATAAATAAATCATGTCTTTAAGCTATTAATATGATCAACAAATCATCAGGAACATCACCAGGAAAAAGCTGACCTCCTGTTCTTAATGTAAAAAGCATGTCCACCAAAGAGACAACCAAAATAACTAAACGGACCTCTGTGCTGATGGCATTTTCAAAGTCCTGAATAAATAGGAAATGTCCAAAACGCACACGCGCGCGAACACACACACAGACACACACACACACACAGACACTCACAAAAGGAACAATCCAGAGACAAACCTGGCTGTAAAATAACATCGTGGAAGCAAAATGATAAATCAGGAGGTATTTTTTATTTGCGAGAGATCCCGAGTGTTTATAGTGCATCACCAGTGAAGGAAAATGAAGTGTTACCCAGATCCGAAAAGGAGTCTCTGAATAGGGTGTACACTGAATTCCCCTTTAATAAAGACAGAACAGGTCTAAACAGAATAAATTTTTAACTTCCAGAAGGCCAAATTAAAAACAAAATAAAAAAAGAAGAAAGAAAAGAAATGGCTTTACCCACAGTCCCATGTCTGGGACAGAGCTCTTCTACCAGGCCACGCAAAGTGACCAAGGCAGAGGCCACCCACCATGCATTCCCAGACTCTTAACCGTGTCACTCTAGAAACCGAGAGGACTTGGATTTCCAGAGTGCTAACGTGATCTGAAGGTACTCAGTACATTTTTCTGTCTGGGCGGGACCAGTAGAACCACTTCTCGCCATATCAACCTCCAATAATTGCCACACTGTGTGCAACCAGTAAGTAGGTAGCACACGGAGACTGACCTGGCAGCCTGCCTGCTACCTTCACAAAAAACACTCCATTCACACACTTGGATACTACTTTCTTTGGCTGGGCTCTTGTTTTTGGAGAAGAATTGCCAAAAAGTATCGTAAACAAGTTACACCTTTACCTCTACCCTTAACCTGGGATGCCGAGGTGCAGAGGCACCAGCACCGCCCTGCCCACTCTGGGTCCCCCAGGCCGCGGCTGCTCATGGGGAACCGTCCCGGGAGAGCGGCGGAGGGGCGAGGCCATCGTTCAGTTCAGGCACCCGCAAAAGGGGCCTGACCCTGAGCCAGAGGGGTTGATAGGCGGCCAGGCGGGCCTGCAGATTTACCTTGTTGAGGTGAGGGTTCCGCGTCAGCAGGTAGCCGCGCTGGTGGGTGTGGCGGCGACGGGGGACTTCAGGCTCCATGGCTGGCGCTGGATTCGGCAGCGGGGTCAGGCCGGGGCTGGCGGCACGCGGGGTACAGGCGGCAGATGCTGCTGGGGCGCCGGTGCTAACTGCAGCTGCGGCGGCGGCCGCACGGTGAAAGGCCCAGCAGCTGGGGGCGGGTGTGGGTGGCGAGAGGGGGTGGACGCGTCGGGAGGGGCCCGAGCGAAGCTGGTGTCCCCAGCAGGGCAGCCTGCGAGGAGCGAGAAGCGCTGAGTCATGGCAGGAGATCATCCGAGCCGGCGTCTGAGGAGGAGGAGGAAGAGCGAGGCCGTGGCAGCGCTGCTGGTGGCGGAGGGGGGTGGCGGCCGGAGCCCTCGGTTCCGTAGGGCCTCTGCCCACCATGGGCTTACGATCACCGCTGTGGTCGCCTCTCACCATGTAGCCATGCCTAAAGGGTGTGCACTGGGTGGGTCCGCTGACCCCAGAGACCCAGGGTGGGGGTGGGGAGCGGGGAGCGTCAGGCCAGGGTCTCCCCGCCCGCCTGGGAAGGCGGGAGAAGGTGCGAGAAGACTCCAGAAGGTGCGAGAAGATGCCAGCAGGTGCGAACCTGAGAGGTTCAGGCAGAGCTGGCGGCTGCGCAGACACCCAGGGGTACTACGGGACGGATTCATGAGACCCCGGGACTTGACAAAAGACCTCGACTGGCTGACGAGAATCAGACTCATCTCTCCCTTCTCATTAGCGTCTTCGAAGCTCTCTATCCACAGCCTTCACCGTGGGGTCCAGGATGCCGGCCATGCCTGGGGCCCTGAGGCCCGAGGGAACCAACCTTGACCTGGAACGTTGAGGCCCAGGGGAACTGGGAGGAAGCCCAGAGAGGACAGCTCAGGCGCCACACCTGTCAGTTTATGTAGATTTTCCACGGGAATTTTATTTGAATGCCATTAAAATAAGAGTCAAGGTGTTAGGGTGCAAAGGCCCAATGAACAGTCCTTTTTATCTTGTATCTCTTGATATCTTGTGTATCATTTTTCTGGAAGTCCTAGAAACCTGATGTTCGAGAACCGCTGCTCTCTCTGAATAAGGGGTAAGCAGCCTTTCAGGGCTTCAGTTTCTTCTTTGGTAAAAGAAGAGGGTTAAACTAAATGATCTTCCAAAGGTGATATTTTTGTATTGTTTTATTGATATTTATGCTTGGAGGTTCATGGATTGGAGAAATAGTCACATCATACCAAAAGGAGTGTCTGATAAAAATAAATTAATAGCAACAGACACTAAAGCCTTCTGTGCCCCAGTTTCCTTTTCAGTTAAATAGGATTGCTAGTTTGTCTCATTCATCTCTGCATACTGATAATACAAAAAAATACTGTTTGAGATTGATTATTTGCTGATTTTGTATCTCCGTACACTAGACACACATCCAATCACAGTGTTTTCATTTCTAGTTATGTTACTTTACCTTATCAGAAAGATTTCTTACAGTAATTGTATTTTGTCCATATTTACATCCAGAAGCTTCTTTGACCTAGTCTAAATTATCTATAATTAGTTGTGTTTATAGAGAATATTTTCTAGGCATCACAAAGTTCTTTTCAAAAAACTCCTTGAAGTTAAATGACACCTTTCATTGTGAATTCTATACTCCATAAATACTTAATCCTACAACATCTAAGAAAAAAATATGCTTTACAAAACTCACTCTCCCGAATTAACAGAAGCACATTACAATTACGGTGTTTTATGTGAGAGAAAACAGTTTTAACAGCAGGCCTGGGAGCCAAATTCAAGCTGCTTAAGAAGAAACAAAATGTTAGTACAACAGGTCCTTATTATAATGAAGTACTTATTACATAAATTTGGATATATTACCTGTCTCTTCCTGTTTCTGAGATTTAATATTTACAGAATGGAAAGGTGTTATAAGTACAGGGAGTAACCCACAAAGAGTATATGGCCTCTCCCTCAAAGGCAACATTACAAGGAGATTACAATATCCTGCCAGTAGTAGGTAAGCATCTTTCATTTATATGTTAACTTTAATTATGTAAATAGCCTCAGTCATCTTGAATAATAACAGAATAAGGCCTAGCTGAAGGAGCCATTTAGTACATTTATATGCAGTTCCAAGAATACTGAAAAGAACCTATTTTTCTACATAAATGTTAGCTAGAATATAAAAATTTTCAGTCTTTTTTATAATAATCTTTTATAAGGTTAGGTTTTATTTCCAAAAACATAGGAAAACAGATGCAGAGAAAGAAATTCTTGCTTTAATTTGCCTTGTAACAAATTGTGGTTGTGCTGTCACTCTGCACATAATTGGTAATGTTAAGAATGGGTATCATTCACAAGTTAAGGGACTAAAAACCTATAAATTTCTGTTATATACAGGTGAGAATGCTATCAGTCAAAACCAGATTTTTCTTGCCTAAGTTATAGTTTAGTATGTAAAGAGCTTTTACAACATTGAGTAAAATATGATTGTAATAGATACTCTGATCAAATGTTAGTTGAGATTGCAAGTATAGAAAATTCAGGAATACAGCATATATAGCAATTCAAATGTTTTACTTTCATGAGATAAAAAAGATTAATAGAAAATGATGTATCTGTGATGATTTGTAATACTAAGTAAATGATTCTGTGTTCACATAAAAAGCACACTACAACTTCGAAATCGTGTGCATTTTATAGCACATCTCAATTTAGACACCAAATTTTTATCAAGAATTTGATCTGTATTTCAATTTTATAAAGCTTACAGTTGCTATAGTAGACTTTTACACCTAACCTGTTGCAAATATACCTTAAAGTTTTCCAGCGACTAAACTAGTATCTGTTTTGTATTTAAATTAAAATAAACAATTTGAAACTGAGTACCTCATTTGCACTGACCACATTTCAAATGCTTAATAATATGCCAGTGACCATTGAATTAGCACAAGCCTAATCCAATCCATTTGGGCCCTTAATTAAATGTTTTACATAAATAAAGGTCAAATATACATAGATGTGTTTTTGTAATGTTCATACAGTGGTTATATGACTTGCAGAGTAACTCAAGTTATATTACCTTATTAGTCTTTCACATACATAGCTATTTGTAACTGTAAATGTATGTAACATACTGATTTTCTTTACAAAGCAGATTATTTTCCTTCTTCTCAGGTAGCTAACCTAGTTTCATTCCTCAAACCATTGTGTTAAAAGTTCACAACATCCCAGTTGATAACATGGCATATGGAATAAACTTCCAAAATAGTAAAACTGCATTTTAAATAAACCTTTTAAAATTCAGATGTCCACCTAAGTATTGTACTTCAAGACAGCCAACTGCTAGAGAAATTTTGCACATACTCTCAATGTTGCTGCCATTTCCCAATCTCCCCACCACCCCCACCCCCTTTCCCCCCACCCACAGAGTCTCACTCTGTCACCCAGGCTGGAGTACAGGGATGCAATCCCAGTTCACTGCAACCAACGCCTCCCGTATTCAAGTGATTCTCCTGCCTCAGCCTCCCTAGTAGCTGGGATTACAGGTGTGCACCAGATGGCTGGCTAATTTTTGTATTTTTAGCCTCACCATGTTCCCAATGCTGATCTCAAATTTCTGACCTCAAGTGATCTGCCCACCTCAGCCTCCCAAAGTGCTGAAGTGCTGGGATTACAGGCGTGAGCCACCACACCTGGCCAGCTGCCATTATTTGAAATGTTTTTCAGTTCCTCTTTTGGAATTAGTTCTTATTTACTCAGGATAAACACTATACTACATTCTTTTAAGAGCATCTTATTAGTTTCAGGCCAGGCATTGTGGCTCACACCTGTAACCTCAGCATTTGGGGAGGTCAAGGCAGGAGGATCACTTGAGGCCAGGAGTTCAAGACCAGCCTGGCAACAAAAGTGAGACCTGTCTCTACAAAAAACCTTGGGGAAAGATTAGCCCACTGTGGTAGCATGCACCTGTAGTCCCAACTACTCAGGAGGCTGAAGCAGGAGAACTGCTTGAGCCCAGGAGGTCAAAGCTACAGTGAGCCATGATCGTGCCACTGTACTCCTGCCTAAGCAATAGAGCCAAAACTTTGTCTCAAAAAAAAGAAAAAAGAAAAAAAAAAGAAGATTATATCAGTTTTACATCCACAGGTACCAGGGTTTAGAACTTCAGAATATCTTTTGGGGGCCACAGTTCAATCCGTAACAAGTATGAAGTCTGGAAGCAGACTGACTGGGTTTGAAACTTTCTAGCTCTTTGTCTTTGAATATCTTATTGTCTCTGGGGCTCAGCTTTCTCATCAGAAAAATGAGGATATTAAAAGTATCTGCCTTTTAAAGTTGTTATGGGGATTAAATGAGGTGATTTGTGTGTATTTATTCAATAAATACTGACTGATTAACCTACTGTGTGTCAGCCCCTGATATAGGCCCTGGAAGATTTATAGTGAATAATAAAAAATCTCTGGCATCTGGAAATTACATCCTATTGAGACAATAAACAAGCTATACTATGTCATATCGTATAATACAGATACATGTAAAGTACTTAGAATGGTGCCTGTCCCATATAAGCACTCAATAAATGTTACTCCTTTTCTTCAAGATTTGGTTCATCTTATGAAGCCATTCCCCATTCCCTCACATAAATATTTCCCCCTTAATTTATTCAAAATGTTTGCTGAACACTTTCTCTATGCCAAGACTTAGACTAGGCACTGGTATGCAAACATAAGGTTATGGGGACAAACAGCCAATATACAAGTAAAGAAATAGGTAATTATGAAATCCAAACTGTAAAAGAAATGAGTATACACTTCAGCAATTGGCAACATGAAGACTAATATTTTTAAATATTCATAATGTTTTAAATTGAATTTTTAATACTATTTAGGATGTCTTATATTTAAGTATTTGAAAATCTCTCTGAATGGTACAGTATTCTTTCAAATGTAAATAAAAGATAGCTTCGGTAACACTTCATTTGAATGTTCACAGCAAATTTGCCCCCACTGGGGATATTCCCAGAAATACTTCATCAACTTTGAAGGGGAAAATACTCATTTAGACAAGTAATAGCTGGTGTACTTGTCAATAAAGCATTAAAGATAGTAACCTAGAATATAGACTTTGGACTAAGAGTTCCTGGGCTCCTGTTCCAACTTTGCCAACTTTGTCGTTACTTACCTCCGTTTGTCCCCTCCAATGATTTATCCTCATCATAATAAGCACTACATGGGTAGTTGTCAAATGAAAACGAAGATAAAAATAAATCAGATGCATTACTCTGTATACTTACTTTCAATTTTTAAAAAGAAAACACTATCCATCACTAAAAGAAATTAAAATATTGGCTGGGCACAGCGGCTCATGCCTGTAATCCCAGCACTTTGGGAGGCCGAGTGGGCAGATTACCTGAGATCAGCCTGACCAACATGGCAAAACCTCTCCTCTACTAAAAATACAAAAATTAGCCA